AGTTGTGGAAACCAGCAGGTCCTGGAACATGATCAGTGAGTAGCACTGTGTGCAGCCGGCACATGATTCTAGCACTCTTACTAGTGACTGCGAATGCCAAAAAATGCAAGAAATTGTGGTTAGAATGATAATGTCTTCACCAAAAGATTATGGCATCTGCACAATAACATCAGCCTTATTAACAAAATTCTACCTTCAGGTATTGGATTTCATACCACATGTCAATCAAGAGGGGACATAAAAATAGAGTTCAAAGCATCAGTTTGGCCATATATTAAGTAACACCCTTTATGTAATTCCTTATGGTAGATGTACTCACATGTTTTTGTTATAGTTGGTCAAAAAGATTTTGGGAGAAGATATTGGTACTAAAAGCACAATCTTCAAATTAATTCGCAAGAATTTCCGCCCCTAATGCAACAAGTAAAAGTCGGAACAGAAGTGTGACAATATAAGAATAATCTATCCAAGATTAAACATGAATACTCATAATCAGAATATAGATTAAAGAATAAAAATGAAATTAATGAAATAATAATGGCGTGTATTAGCTAATTTCACTCTTACGACATACACAGCTTGATTTAATATTGCTTCGTGACTCAGAAATCCCTTGGGGATCTCTCGGTCATACAGAAAAAAACAATAATTTGTGGTCAAAAGGGAGAAGAAAACAAGAAATGGGAAGAGTGGAAAAAACATGAAAATGTCAAAAGATTTACCATCTAAGATTAAACCAAATTACATCTGATTGTCTATTCTACTGTAATGTAGTATAGCAGCTGTAGGCAACATCTTTTAGGCAACTCAAGATGAGAGTTTAATATTAAAACACAGTCATCTTATTAAGAGAGAGAGAGAGCACTAAACTACAGTTGTTTAACACTAAAGCTGCTATTAGCTAAAGTTTTACCTTCGGAGTTCTAAACATTTATAATGCTAATGAGGCTATAGTCTATATGATAATGGTGAGGATAAAAGACTCGGTTTCAAGTCCACCAGATGTTTGATATGCTGATAACTTTGGATTTTTGGGTAACTATTCCTCCAGCTACATATGGGCAACCAAATTCTTCTTTTATTCTTCAAACGTAAATTCCATTACAACAAAATGGCAATCAAGTATGGACAGGTAAAAGCGTAAAAGTAGTGAACAAACATGTTAAGTGTCAACCTAAATGCTTGGGTTAATAATCTTTATTTTGACTAACACACTTGATCTTTATTCAGCAAATGAAACAGTACAAAGAGTTTCACATAAGTACGTCAGGACAGATTTCTAAAAAGATAATAGTTGGGATTTTGCTTCTTTTTTTTTGGACATTTAGATGCCATGAACTTTTGGCAGAAGCTACCATGTGAAAAGAGTGAGGCTATGGTGTCTTTGATTCGACCAGAGAAGCCAAAACTGATCCTAACTAGGGCAAAGCAAAGCAACAGTGCAAATCCCATCCATTTTGCCAACAAGACGAACACGGAAGACACAGATCTGAGCAACATAATGAATTGTGAGAAGGCACGGGAGAAAATATGTTATTGATATTGGATGTTCAATACAATACAAGAGGTCCTTATTTATATCTATACTATACAAGGACATACTACTCCTATTCTAATGTGGGACAAGACTACACTATATACATAGCTATAAACTAACACTCCCCCTCAAGCCGGTGTATACAAATCATATGTACCGAGCTTGTTACATATATAACCAATATGAGGACCAGTGAGAGACTTGGTGAAAATATCTGCAAGTTGATCATTCGACCTCACAAACTTTGTAGCAATCTCTCCTGAAAGTATCTTTTCTCTGACGAAGTGACAATCAATCTCAATGTGTTTAGTTCTCTCATGCAACACCGGATTTGATGCAATATGAAGGGCAGCTTGATTAT